GCGGCACTTCGGTCGAAGCTGCGTTTCCCTCCTGGGTGGAGCTGAAATTGCAGCTCTCATGAGTGTTCTCGCCGCCTAATCAGGCATATCACGTGCGATCGCGCTTCCTTGCCACCCGACAGGGCAACAAGGAATCGGTGGACTTTGTCCAAGAGTTGCGAACTCTAATTGCCGGGATGGCAGCAGATCCTCTTCCGGAGGCGGTCACAGTGACCGTGTTCATGGAAGGCCTCCGCACTGGCGTGACCAAGATGGAAGTCTTCCGTGTGCATCCGTCCTCATTTGAAGAGGCGCTGAATGTGGCATTGAATGCCGAATTCAATTTCAAGTCGGCACGGCTTGGTTGGAATACACACTCCAACAGCTCGTCGAGCGGGCCTATGCCCATGGATCTCAGCTATGCTGAGAACAAAAGAGCAGAGCTCCGAGCTGCCGGGCAGCACGAAAACACACGACAGTGTTTTGTTTGTGGAGACATTCGTCACTTGCGGAACGGTTGCCACCTGCGCAAGGCGCGTCAAGGTTCTTCGAACCATCGCCCCATCGCCAACCAGTCCGGTTCGTCGCGGGGAAACGACACCACTCAGTTGGCGCGGGGGGAACTACTGGGGAAGAATTCTGTCGAGCCTCAGGGAGGCATAGGCCCAGCCCCGAAGAGCTTCGTGCTCTTAAACAGGAAACGTGTGTGCAAGCCGGGCTTGGTGGTCGTGGAGGCGACCGTAAAGGGCTTCGAGAAGCCACGGAAAATCCGTATAGATTCTGGGGCGTCGGACAATTATGCTCGATGCTCCACGATGGAGGGAAGTCAGCTGTATGTTGAGGCGCTAAAAGCGCGGTTGGGTGACATCGTCTCTGTTTGCCTTGCGACGGAGACGCGGTCCCGAAGGTCCCTGTGGACCTCGGAGTCAAGTTCCTTGACTTTGATAGCGTGAAACGCTGTCTAGTGTTAGACTTGGTTGCAAGGTATAACCTCATTCTAGAAATGGCATGGTTGGAACACCATGATCCATGGATTGACTGGAGGTTAAAGACCTTGGGCGCTACGCGCACGTCTCCTGGTAGAGCTTTGGCGAGTAATGAACCCACCTCTGCTAGGAGACAAAATCGCTACTGGCGAGAGCGCTGGACCGAGACAGTCAACGTGCTGGACATTAAAATGTCCGAGTTGGTCGTCACCAACGGTGTATCGGACAGTACTCCCGACCGTGGCTCGCGGGCTGATTGTGGAGTGGCACGTAACCCACTGAACGCTGCATGTCATGCGTGACATGGTCGGCCAAGGGTCAAGGCATCGAGGACGAGGCCCCCGTGATGCAAGTGAAGTGGCACGTAAACCACTGAGCACTGCTCTTGTTGCGAAGCAGTCGCGGCATGCCATTGATGGCGTGGTCGGACAGAGTCCGAGTCATCTTTAGCGCGGCCCTTCAGATGCGCGTGGAGTGACACGTTATCCGCTGGACGAAGACTGCGGGGTTAGCAGCTCTTTGTCGGATGCTCCAAGGAAGCGGACAGTGAGGGTGACACTAAACGACGCAGAATGCGTGTTCAACCTGGTCTCACCGTGACATGGAACCTCTGTACAGAGGCGACGGAGACACCGTATGCTGGCTACAAGACGACGGGCGTCGGCCCTGATCAAGGGTGTGTCTACCTTAGACGATGGCGCACAGTTATAC